GGTCTGGCAATCTGATTCTGAGAGGTCACAGATTTGCCCCCTATGGAGCACAGTTCTATTCTGCACACGTGGGGGGCCACGAGTCATTAACTAACAATAATAGTAGCTCCTTGGCTGTATTAAGGCTGTTTTATTTCAGTATATTAATGTTTTTTTACTGGCCTCCCTACTAAGTTCGTATTGCTTTTAACAGCGGCTCGATTTATTCTCTGGATTTTTCAAGTATAGACATACCGTCATTTCATCTGCAGTGAATATTATTTTATCTTTTACTTTCTCTTCCTTCTTTTGCTGGTACCTCCTGAGCAGTGTCAGATATTACAGGGATGAAGGGCATGGCTTGTTTCTTACAGACTTGGGACTGCTTCTAATGTTTCACCATTAAACATCATGCTGATTTTTGACTGTAGATAGGATGCAGAACTAGCCATTGTTTCTGCTTTATCGAGCGTTCAGATGTCAAGAATGTTGTTGTTGTTGTTACTAAGTGCCATCAAGTCAGTTCCGACTCAAGACAACCCTGTATAAGGTTTCTAAGGAGCGGCGGGTGAGTTTGAACTGTCAACCTTGTGGTTCGAACCAATCTTTTGATCCAGTGCTTTATCCTACAGTCAGGAATGTGTAAAATGGATAATTTTATTAAATGCCTTTTGAATATATCCATGGAGACCACACTGTTTCTCCTTGTGATGTCCCAATCTGGGGACTTGTTGTGAAAGGCATTTTGTGCTGTTCTTGGTTGTATCAGACTGCTACTTTGCTCCAGTTGAGCCACCTTTTAATGTCACTGGTTTTGTGTATTGCTGTTAAAAATTGAAAATGGTCTACAGATGTCTTTTAAAATAAGCTCTGTTGTTGTTTGGTGCCATCAAATCAATTCTACCCCATGTGACTGAGTAGAGCTGTCTTATAGGGTTTTGTTGGCTGTAATCTTTATGGGAGCAGATGGCCAGATCTTTATCTCAGGGAGCCACTGGATGGAGTTTGAACTGCCAATCTTTCTGTAAGTTAGCTCTTCTTTCTTGATGGACGAGAGATCAAGCCCTCCCTGGCTTATGTTGTTGTTGTGAAGTGCCATCGAGTCGATTCCGACCCATAGTGACCCTGTATAGGGTTTCCGAGGAGCAGCTGGTGAGCTTGAACTGCTGACCTTACAGTTCAAACAGCTTTGCAGTCTGATGCACTAACCCACAGAGGCACACCAGGACTCCTGCTTATGGGAAGGCTCATTTTTACTGACCAATCCCTAGGCTAGGATTCCAGACACCTAATTTGCAAGGTTCCACCCTTGTGGGGTATTTTGGTTGGTTATGTGCCATGGAGTTGGTTCCAACTCACAGTGACCCTGTACAGAGCAGAAAGCCTTATCTTTCTCCCGCGGAACAGTTGGTAGTTTTGAACTGCTGACCTTGCAGTTCGCAGCAGGATTCATAATCTCTACGCTACCATTGCTCCTTGTCAGGTACCTTAGTTATAGTATTAGTAGGCTATCCAATCACCTTGGTGGGCCACAATCACCTGATATTTGCATAGTCCTCCCGCCCCCTCCCCCCCAGGTCATCCTGTGGGAGTTACAAAGACAACAGCTAGAAGGACCATACTTCAAGGCACTGCAGATGCCAAAGGCACATGCACCTGCTGAGTAGTGTGAGTGTGCAGGCAGCTCCAAGACCTGGCTGTGTGAACTGGGGCACATGACTCGGCATGTGTGACTCGGTTTCCTCACAGCATACAACTATTGGTTGTTGGGGGAGCTCAGTGAGTTGTGATGTGTCAGGACTGAGAACGGTGTGCTGGGCAAGGACTTTACAACTGTTTAATTTTGAAATAAGCAAAAATTCCATTCAGCAGCATGATTATGCACTATTGCTCACTTGGATCAGAAAAGCAAATCTGCAAAAGATTACTTAAAAAAAAAAAATTCTTTCTCAACAGTTTCTCATTTTTTCCAAAAAAGGGAAAAAAGAATCAAATTCTGAAGGGATATGAGAATGAAATTTAAGCTTGGTTCTGTTTGGCTGCTAGTATGTGTCAGCTTAAACTCAATTTCTTTTCAGTGGAAAAACGTAACCAGACAGCAAAGCTAGCTGTGCCCAGACAGGTCCATCCTGTTAAACATTCAGATGGGTGTAGGCTTGGGGAAGCTAGCAGAGTGCATATCGGATGGGCAAAATCCTTTTCTCTTTCTCTAGAAATTAACACAGCTCTTAAGTGAAATCTGCATCTCCTGGCCTGGGTAGTGGGGGTGGGGGGTGGGGGCCGGAGAGTTGGCATCATACACAACACAAAATCCAGAGCAATTATTGCATTTCACCTTGCTCGATCTGCCCTAGGGGTCCCTGTGTGGTGCAAATGACTAATGTGCTCAGCGGCTAACTAAAAGGTTGGAGGGTCTAGTCCACGCAGAGGTGCCATCTACTTCTGGAAAATCAGCAATTGAAAACCCTTTGGAGCACAGTGCTACTCAGATAAAGACAGGGTTGCCATGAGTTACAATCAACTAGACAGCAAATGGATTTAGAACAAACACCCTGTCATATACCATCCCAGTCACAGAGAGCTCACGAGGTACGTCTGTGCTCCAGGACCAAGAAGAGCGTGTCCAGAGTGTGAAAACACCTACTATATGTCAGACCCTGGTTCTCAGGCCACAGGGTAAACTGATGGGAAGCCAAGGCTTCCTGGGAGGGAGCCCTTAAGATTCCTCTTTGGGCTCATTCCTGTCAGGGTTGGAGACCACTGAGGGTCTCCATGACAGCCCATCCCCTGCTCCAGATGGATCATCAACCTATGTGGCTCCCAGAACAGCCCCATAGGGATGTCTTCTCCCTTTTGTGGATGAGAAACCAGTAATGTCACAAGGTTACAGAAGTCCCTCAAGTCACAAAGATAGGACAGAGTGGGGCCATGATTTATTCCCAAACCTGTCTGTCCTCCAAATAAGGGGTTGACAAACCAAACCATGATCCACAGTGCAGGCCATAACCCCCCCTCTATTTGTTTTTATATGGTCTGTGAGTGAATGGTTTGTGCATTTTTTTAATGGTTGGGGGAAAAGTAATGGAAGACTATTTTATGAAATTCAAATTTCAGTTCACATTGATAAAGTTTTATTGGAACACAGCCAAGCCCATTTGTTTTCATATTGTCTATAATGCATTCGTTCAAAATAAGCCATGGCAGCAGTATTGAGTAGTTACAACAGAGACTTTATGGCCTATGGTGGTGGTGGTGGCTGTGTGCCCTGGAGTTGGTTCCGACTCATAGTGACCCTGCATCGGGGTTTCTGGCTGTAAATCTTTATGGGAGCGGACAGCCTCATCTTTCTCCAACAGAACAGCTGGTAGTTTCAAACTGCTTACCATGAGGTTAGCAACCCGACTTGTAACCACTACACTATCAGAGCTCCTTTTATGGCCTAGAGAGCCTAACATATTTACTGTCTGCTCTGGTTGTCTATAGAAGGAGTTTGCTGGCCTCTGTGCTACACTATAGTGTTAAGAGCTTGAGGACAATATGGTGTGGTGCTGTGGGTTAATGCGCCAGACTGCAAAGCGGTTTGAACTGCAAGGCTGGCGATTTAAGATCATCAGCTGCTTCTCGGAAACCCTATACAGGGTCGCTATAGGTCGGAACCGACTCGATGGCACTTAACAACAACAACAACAACAACAATGAGGTCTGATACTAGCTTTATCAAACGAAAATCCATGGCCATCCAGGCAATTCCAACTCACGTCCCATAGGGTTTCCAAGACTGTAAATCTTTATAGGTGCAGACAGTCTTTTTTCTCCCACAGAGCAACTGATGGGTTAGAACTGCTGACCTTGCAGTTCGCAGCCCAATGCCTAACCCACAGTGCCACCAGGGCATACTAGCTTTGTTGTTGTGTCTTTGAGTCAATTCCCATTCACAGCAATCCTGTATAGGGTTTCCGAGGAGCAGTTGGTGGGTTTGAACCGCTGATCTTGCAGTTAGCAGTCCAGTGCTTATCCTGCATCACCATACTAGACTCCTTTAGGAGACAGAGAAACAATTGAATGGCTAAGAGATCTCTAGTTGCATGATGCATGGCCCTCATCCTGTGCCCATCAACATTTTTGTCAGTAGCCGGAATGGGATCACGGGGGCTCTTTCTGGATTCAGCCGGTTGCCCCATGTTCCTTCCTAGCAGAGTCCTAACTTCCACCCATTGCTGGCTTCAGAGGGGACAGGATCAGGGACTCTACTTTTAGCTGATGCATCACCATCTTCCAGGGCCCTCTGCTTTTCCCAGGAATGAGCCTGGGTCCTAATTTTGTTCAGTAAGGTGAAGTTGTGGGCTTCCATTCCATGGGTGAGGAGAGGTTCTCTCTTTGTCTCCTGTTCGCTCCCTGTCCTACAGGACATGAACAAGGAAAGAGTTCACCTGTAGGTTTTTTAAGAAGACACTGGATTGTTAGTGTTGTGGGTGGTAAAGTGGGGAGCAGAGAGAAACCTGGGTCCAATCATGACATTAAGGAGCCCTGATAACATAGTGGATTATGAGTCAGGCTGCTAACCGAAAGGTCTGTAGTTCAAATCTTCCAGCTGTTCTGTGGGAAATAGATGAGGCTTTCTGGATTCGTAAAGATTTACAGCCTCAGAAACCCTATACAGGGTCACAATGAGTCAGAACTGGCTCAGTGTCACATCACCACCACCAGTACTTACTGTATGGAGCCACCATACTCCCAAATCATGGCACTATGGAGATGCTAAACCCACACAGTCTGCTACAGAGGATCCTAACCTTCCTTATAACCAAACGTTCTGCTGAGTGCATTCCAACCAAGGCAGCCCTGTGTGTGCCAGAGTAGAACTGTGCTCCACGTGGTTTTCAAGGGCTGGCTTTTTGGAAGCAAACCTCCAGGCCTTTTTCCCCCACTAAAGCTAATTAATCAGCAGCCTGGCAGCCTTGATGCTGGTGGGGGAGACAGGCACCCTAACACACCCCTTCAGAGGCTGGGGATCCCCACAGGTCCATGACCGCCTGGATCGATACTGCTGTGGCTTTGAGCCTGAGCCCTCCGACCCCTGCGTGGAAGAGAGGCTCCGTGAGAAATGCCAGAACCCTGCTGAGCTGCGTCTGGTCCACATCCTGGTAGGTCTTCTTGTAACCCCTCATCCGCCCTGCCTGGGTCTCCTCAGAAACTATAGTTACAGAGTTTCAGTGATCATCTGATGCTGGGATTTCCCAATCCTGTTAGTTCTGGCAGTAAAGTCCTTTCTTTGAGTAAATGTTTTTCAATGCATAAAACTGAGAGAGTGGAGAATGTGGTTGAGGTGAGGTCAGGAAAGGAAGGGGCTGGATGCCCCATTTTCATCATCTCCACTGCACTGTGCCCCTCAGGAGACTCCAGGAAATGCCTAGAGCTCTAGGAATCAAAGTTTGAGAACTGTTTGTCTAGTCAGACTTCACTGTGCATTCAAATGTGGAAATTGTGGTGGTAGTGGTGGGGTGGGTGTGGGTGGGTTGGGTGGAGTTCCCAAGGTCAGGTGGCTGGTTGGTGAAGCAATAGGGTTCCAACCCAAGCCCCTGATGGCCCCCAGGCCAATGCTGAACAGAGAAATCTGTGTTACCTCGTTAGAACCAGAGCCCAGACCAGGGTGGGGTTGGTGTGACCACACAGCCACTTCTCCTGCACCAGAAGCAAACTGCCACCCCTGGGGAAGGCCTTCTTCACCCTATTCCCCGATGAAGCCGTGTGTCCTGCAGCCCCACCGTGGACAGTTGTTTTGGGAGGTGGCTGTTAGCCTGGGCCAGGTCTGCCACATGGATCTCCTGGGTGGATGGTGGGATGTCTTGGGTCCTTGTCCCCCAGGGACATATTTCTTCTTTCTCCTAATAAACAGAAGATGACCCTGGAAGTGGTACCACTGCTTCCATATCTGTCACATCTCCTGCTGGGTAGCCTTTTCACACAGCCTTTAGAATGACAGTCTTCAGAGGGAAGGATCAACAGATTTTGAAAACCAGGGGGGGATCCCTGATGTGTGAGGGAGTTGAGGAGTGAAATGAAGTAGAGAGAGGAGAAGCTGGGGTGCTGGAGACAAACAACCTTGTAGTTAAAGCCTAGAGGCTAGAGAAAATTATGAGACATTAGGGTGGAACTTTGGAGAATATGTATATGGGAATGCATGTGTGCGGGGGCTGCTGGGTGAGAGGTCTCAGATGCTCCATGACACGGTACACAAGAATTCCGTATCATTGCTTTTAGAGTTGGAAAGATTTTAGCAGAAGTCTAACTTGTCTCCTATGGAGACATAGTCAACACAGTCAGAGGATAAAGTTACCCCATAATGCTTGGGGGGAGTGCCCAGATATGCAGGCACAAGTGTCACCCAAGTGGTGAGCATGTGTGCATATGTGAGGTTGTGAATGTGAGTGTATGTATGCATGTGTGTGAGAACATGTGTACCTGAGTCAGAGCACATATGTGAGGATGTGTGGGCATGTGCATGTATGACACATCATGACCCCAGATGGTCCTGGTGAGTCTGTTACTCTGCACATGCAGATTCCTACCCAGGCTCCTCAGCCCTTCCTTCCTTCAGCCTGTCGGTGTTGGAAACAAAGCTGACTGTCTGCTCAGAAGTAACCAACACAGGATCCAGTCCCTCTATGTTGCATTTTAGCAGGATGGTGCTGTAGCTTTGAGCTATGGTCCAGATTTGACACCAGCCCAGTTACTGCTTAGCTGGGTGATCTTGTGCAAACTGTGACTTTTCTGTGCCTCCATAAATGGGGCTAATACTGGGCCCTGGAAGGAAGCAGATGCCTGAAAGCACTTCACAGAATGTCTGGCATAAACGCCCAGTGTGTAGAGACCATCTAGGCAGGAGCAGGGAGGATTGTGGGGCTGAGAGCTAAGGGCACCCCCAGCCCTGACCCCCCTTGTCTCTGTCCACCTTCTTTCCCTGAGGTCCGGAGCAGCAACCCATCTCATCTAGTCTACATTGATAATGCTGGGAACCTTCAGCATCCAGAGGACAAGCTGAACTTTCGGCTACTCGAGGGTATAGATGGGTAAGGTTCAAAGGCAAGGTGACAGAGAGCAGAGGGTTGAGTGACTTTGGAGGTTCATGGGACTGAGGCTGTATGGGCCTGCTGCAGGCTGTGGGGCCCGGAACCATGGCTCCTGAGAAGTCTGCAGTGCATTAGACAAAGGCGGTCAGAGCTGAACTTCAGCTGAGGGTGGGGAGCCCTAAGAAAGTGGAGTGGTGATGAAGACCCCACCAACCCCTGGATGGGGTATCCTAGCCTCATGAAGATAGTTCTTCCTTTGCCCTGGGTGGGAGAGCTAGCCTGGGGCCCTACCCTGCCCTGCTGTCTCCTGGCAGGTAACTCAGGCTTCCTGGCTTCCTCCTGGTCCTGCCTTTGCCATTCAGAGCAGTGGGCATCATCTGGGCAACAGAGCAGATCCTCCAGCTTTTCTGGGGTGGGGGAGGGAGGGCATTCAGGAGCCTTTACCTGTGTTTCTCAAGCAGAGTGGGTCAAAGGGGTCTCTGCTAACCAGGCAGCAGATATAGTCCAGGGGGGCTTCAAAGGTGACTATCAGGGTTCCCCAGCTGTGAAAGTCCTGGCCATCTGGCTTCACCTGTCTCTGAAATTCAGGTGACTTTTGGTTTCCTTTCTGTTTTGGGGACTGGGGGCCTTCCCTGCAGGTTTCCTGAGTCCGCTGTGAAGGTGTTGGCGTCAGGGTGTCTACAGAACCTGCTGCTCACGTCACTGCAGATGGACCCGGTGTTCTGGGAAAGCCAAGGTGGGGCCCAGGGCCTGAAGCAGGTTCTCCAGACACTGGAGCGGCGAGGACAGATCTTGCTGGGACACATTCAGAAGCACAACTTGACGATCTTTAGGGACGAGGACCTATGAGCCCCATCACTGCCCAGAGCTGATGAGCCTTGATCCTTATGGCCACACTGATTCAGGTGCCCCTCCGTGAAGGAAGACAAATGGGAGAAGCCAGAACCCAGAGGGCACTGTGGCTGTCATGGAATGCTCTATGACCATGAGATGATGGAGGTGGTTATGGGGTCCAAGCTCACTGCACTCCTAACCAGAAATACCTGCACTCTCCGCCTTGCAGTTCTGGCTACTTACTCTCTTGCACCAATAAAGAAAGGCATTCAAGAAGGTTCTGTGAACTGCTCTAGATGCTGCCAAAAGAATGGTGCCTTCCACATGCGTGTGCAGAACGGGACACCTGTGTCGTGTGTGTGTGTGTAGAGGTGCGTAGGTGTGTGTGGCATGTGTGCAGGGATGCTCGAGTACAGGAGATGAGCTTAATATGGGTCTTCATATGATTGTACTCGTGGTCCAGGACTGTTCTGGCTGAAAGGAGACTCAAGTCAAAAACCAAAACACTGGCTCTTGTCTCTGCTGTTGTGGCTGTTTGGTGCCATTGAGTAAGTTCCAACTCATAGTGACCCTATGTACAATGGGATGGAACACTGGACTTTGTTTAACTTCGCATTTTTACTTAACTCAGTTACTTTTTTGGAGTAAACATTGGCTCTGGTTTGGCTTCGCAGGTGTTTTATGTGAGTCAGGGTTCTCTTGTCATACATGTTCTGGTCAGTGTCCGTCTGTATATTCAATCTCCCAGCTGTTGTTTCCAGTCCAGGAAGTCAAAGCCCCTCTGCAGCAATCAGTCCGGAATGTCCAGAACATCGTCATCGTCCCCGCTTCCAAATCAGGACCAACCAGAGAAAATCAAATAAGCTTCCCAAACCAATTATACAAGAAGCACTGCTACTGGTACACTGGTTAAGTGCTCATCTGCTAATCGAGAGATCTGAACCCACCAGCTGCTCTGAGGGAGACAGATGTGGCATCTTGCTTCTATAAAGATGGTGGTTAAGTGCCATCGTGTCAGTTCTGACTCAGTGACCCTGTATAGGGTTTCTCAGGAGCGGCTGGTGGGTTTGAACCACTGGTTAGCAGTCTAGTGCTTATCCTACAGCACCATACCAGGACTCCTTAGAAATGCTATGGGGCAGTTCTACTCTGTTCCATGGGTCCCTATGAATTGGAGTCCATGGCAACAGGTTTGGGAATAAATTACACTGAATGCCCACTTCTGGGTAACCCACTTCCAGTTTCCCTGTGCCAACAACCTCCAGTCGGGGCACACCTGAGGCCTTCCCCTTTTTTACTATAAAGCTCTCCCCTTTTCTTGCTTATCTTGAGTCTTTGTCAAACATGGTGATGGTGGCTGAGTCCCTTGTTATATCAAACCCAGAATCAACAGCCTCTGATAGCTCTCATAACCACCAGCACCTTCTGCCTCGGAACACTACCTTATTTGTAATCAAAATTTTAATTTGATTTTCAAAACTACTACTACAGGAAAATAATTTCAGCAAGAGAGGTGACTAGACTTGAAGACAAGAGCTTCATGTTCAGATCCGAGCTTGGCCACTTGTGGAACTAATGAGTTTTTATGGAGCATCTTCTGTAAGAGCCACTAACATTTATTGAGTGCTCTGGCAGTGTAGTGGTTATGAATTGGGCTGCTAACCTCAAAGTTTGAAACTACCAGCTGTTCCGCGGGAGAAAGAGGAGGCTTTCTGCTCCCGTAAAGATTTGCAGCCTCGGAAACCCTGTGCAGGGTCACTATGAGCCGTAACTGACTCCACGGTACATAACAACAACAACTATGTGTCAGGCACTGTGATACAAGCATCACAGGATTAATTCATTTAACCTCATTACAACCTCATGGGTTTGTTGTTGTTAGCTACCATGGAGCAGGAAGGACCCTTGTGATCCATACACTTGTCCACTGGCTCATTCTCTGAAGTACATTACCAGGTCCTTCTTCCTAGTTTGTCTTAGTTGGAAAGCCCTGCTGAAAGCCGCTCAGCATCATGGGAACATACTGGCCTCCACTGACAGGCGGGGGCTGCACAAGAGATGGATCAGGTGCTAAGTGAACCCAGGTCTCCAACCTGGGCAATGAGATTTTCCCACTGAACCACAACTGTCTCTGCCTGGAAGGTAGGTAATATTATCTGCATTTTAGAGATGAGTTAAGAACCATGCCCTGGCACCCACCTAGCTTGCTGGTGGAAAAGCCAGAATTCAATCCCAGGCAGGAACTGTGCTGACGAAGCTCAGCCCCAAACTACCACTAAAGGTGCTCTCTCTACCCTCCTAGCTGCTCCGCTTCCTTGGACTCACAGCTGCTGACCAGGCAGGACCAATTCCCTGGAATGTGGAGCAGCAAATGCAGACTCTCCGTCAAGCACTCTCACGCATTTGGCTCCCTGCCCCTGCTCTTTGCTTAAGTTGGCTCAGGCTATTAACTGCGTCTTTATTGCAAACTTGAAATAGCATCCACTTTTTGATTAAAACAACAACAACAACTAACAACTCTCAATCTCAGTGCTAGCTGAGTCCTCTGCATTTCCCCCAGCCTTTACCTCTGGAATGAGAATAAGGTGCCAAGGGAAGCAAACAGCTGGGGAACTGAATCAGGAATCAGGACCTTCAGGGCCGGAAGCCATGGTTGTGTCTGTACTACAGCATCTGCCCAGCTTCCAGCAGATGGGCCTGGAGAGACGCAGCCAGGGCCGCTGGCCTCCTCACTGCCCTGCACCTCTCCCGAATTCCGAGGGAAATGATACCGTTTCTAAGCAGGAGGGGCCGATAATAGTAACACAGATTCACAGCTCTGACACGCAATTCCAACATTCTCCAAAGCTCTGGAAACCACTTTTCATCTCTTTGATGCCGAAACTCATGCCCCACTCAGGACATTGCAGAAACATGTTTGCTTGTTGGGTGTACCCTCAGACTCCCATACACCCACATTTGCTGTTGTGAAGTGTCTTTGAGTCGGCTTTGACTCATAGCGACCATGTATTGGGTTTCCAAGGAGCAGCTGGTGGGTTTGAACTGCTGACCTTGTGGTTAGCAGCCCAGTGCTTACTTACAGTATACACCAGGACTCCATAAACTCCTATGTTGTGGTTAAGTGCCTGTACAGGGCTTCTGAGGAGTAAATGATGGGTGTGAACTGCTGACCTCATAGTTTGCAGTATGTGACTTTCTAAGTGTGGAAAATTCACAATTCTGAATTACAGCTGCTCTTGTGGGCTGGGTATGGGGCTGTGGACCTCATGGTTCTAAGGGCTTCACACAGACTCCCTCACAAATGCCTTACAATAACCCCAGGGGAAAGCCACTGCTATCCCTCACTTTACAGATGAAGAACTGAGGCTGGGAGGGAGGAATGACTTGCCCCAGGCCCCAGGGCTCACATGTGAACCCAGTGCACTCAGCCAAGGTGCTAGATGGAGACCCAAGGGACCCTGAGGGCCACAGAGACCTGTGACTGAAGTCTTGAGGACTGTTGAAGTCTGCATGTTGTTACCACCTCCCTCTGTGCCCACCCAGCTTAGGCAATTGTAAAGCTGTGCAGGACACAACCTGGGACATGCCATTAAGGACGACTACACATGAAAGTTCTTTCTTTTTACTTCCTGTTAGATATTTTACAGGTCTGATTAGTTTACTCAGTGCCCTAGGCATAACTCTAAAGGATAAACCTATTGGAGCAAAGGAGATACCAGCTCTTAGGAAGGGTTTGAACCAGGGTCTTTTAGAGCCACACATGCACGCCATTCCACAGTAAATTTTGTCTGCCCCGGTAGCGCAGTGGAGTATGAGCTGGGCTGCTAGCCAAAAGGTCAGAAGTTCGAATCTACCAGCCGCTCTGCAGAACACATACATGCAGTTATCATGTTGTTGTTAATAAGTGCTGTTGAGTCAGGACTGACTTGAACACAGGAGCCCCAGGTTGTGGTCCAGGGCATTATCATGCAGCGCCACACCACTCCATTAACATGACCCCATGGCCCCTCCTCTGGTAGCATGGTGGTTACAGGCTGTTAATCTCACAGTCAGCAGTTCGAAACTACTTTTTCCAATGGAGAAAGATGAGGCTTTCTGCTCCCATAAAGATTTATAGCCTCGGAAACCCTGTACAGGGTCACTATGAGTCGGAACCGACTCCACGACACATAACAACAACAGGGGCCATTGCCAGGGAATCCCCACCTATCCCTATGAATAAACATGATGCCTTTTCCTTATCCAAATTTTTAGAACCCAGCAAAGCTTTTATTCTGGAAGATGGGAGTTAATCATTGCAATAATTCCTTCCTGTCACCATTTTCAAGCCTCTTTCCTAAAATAAACCTTTGTTCATATGGAAACCCTGCCTCACATGATTATTTCTAATCAGTAGAAGGCAAGACCCCTCCCATGTAGGGTGGAGGTATGGCTAGTACTCCTGGCAACACTCAACTTCATAAGTTTCCAGAGTGGACGCAGATCCTATGAGAGCCTCTGGGGTGTGGTGATTCTTAGAGATGGAGAGCAACATCAGCATCCTGGGGTCCTGGTGTGGGCTGCAGGATAGTTCCCTGGACTGCAAGGTCAGTTTGAACACACTCAAGCTGGTGTGAACCAAGAAAAGATGACATAAAAGAGGCTGGGGAGCTCTGGAGGAGTTCCTGGGCAGTACAAGCTTGGCTGTTAACCCAAAGGTTGGAAGTTCAAGTCCAACCAGAGGAGTCTTGGAAGAAAGGCCTGACAATTCATCTACTTAGGAAAAATCAGGCTTTGAAAATTCTATGGTGCAGAGTTCTACTCTGACACACAGCTGGTCACCATGAGTTGAAGTTTAGAGTCATGGTTTTAAGGGACATCCCAACTAGTTGGCCTAATACTGTGTTTAATGCTTCTGTTTTACCTCTTAGTTCCTTGCTTAGTGCCTGGGACCTTAAAAGTTTTCAAGTAGCCATTGAAGGCACAACGATTGGTTTCCATTTCCTCTATGAACGTGTCTCCTTTGCCATGAGACC